AAAATATATTTAAATGAACTGGGAAATTAATGGGCGATTATTCTTAAAAGCCCGAATCATAATTTGGACTTCTGAGAATATGTCTGGTAGCCCTTTGTCACTGTATTCATGAACAAAATGGACTTCTCAAAAAGTCTGTGAGATTGCAAAGGATTTAAGATTTGAATATGGAAGATGCCCATGAAATAACCGTTAAGTAAAAAAAATTACAACATGCATTTTTGTCTGTATGACTGCATCATAAGCAAATAGAAAGACTGGAAAGAATGATCCGCAAATGGTATCAGTTGTTTGGTTTTATAGTATTTTCTCTTTTCATTTTTAAAATTTCTGTTATACCATTATGCCACTTTCATAATATTAAAATAAAAGCTATGATATATATTTTTTTAAAAAGAAAATATTTCCTTTGGAAAGGATACAAAATAGCAGCTAAATTTAATTTTTGAGTTGACTGAAGAAGGTCTCGGTAATATCTTTCACAATGTTTTTATCATGTGTCTACAGCGTTACTTTATAGGAAACTGGCCTCCTCATGAGAATTTTCTCCCCTGAAAATATAGTCACATCTGGCTCCAGTCAGTGATGCATTGTGCAATTTAATTCCCTTTCCCCATCATTCCCATCTGTTCTAGCTTTTTCTTCCCCATTTTAACCATGATATTGTCTATTCCCTATTTTGTTCTGTTTCATCCAAAATTAAACTTGAAGATAAAAAGATTACATACAGAGATAGGTTTTGGAAACTTAACAGATGGGAGAACATTTTCATATAGAGTTGATGGTCAGGATTTTGATTATGTTCTCTACCAAGAAATACGGGGTTATCAAAGAAAAACTAGACATTTTCTATAACAGAATGCTGCAGAAAATCTGAGGCAAGACTCTTAACTCTGAAACCATCCAGTGGCATAATTAACTTTGCAACCGATAACCACCAACAAGCATGATAAATTTTTTGCTGGGAGAAACTGTTTCTCAATTAAGAAAAAAATTAAAAATTAAAATGGGAATTTAAAAACATATACAAAAGTTGGGGAGAATAGTATAATGAAGTTGTGTTACTTATCACCCAGCTTCAAAAAATGGCACTATTTTGAAATCTATCCCCAACCTGAATCTTTCCGCTGAGGTAATCTTAAAGAAAATCCCACACAATCATATTATTTTACCTCTAAATATTTCAGTATGTATATTTAACAGACAAGGGCTTTCTTTTCTCTAACATAATCATGAGAGTGAACCCAATAAAATTAGCAATAATTTCTTAATATCACCTAATACCAATTTTGTGTGCATATTCTTCAGTTATCTGAAAAATGTCTTTTTGAAAATTTATTTACTTGACTCAAGACTGAAATTAGTTATTCAAATTGACTGAGTCAACATATCTCACATCTTTTATTCTATAATAGTAACCCCTTCTCCCATTCCTTTTCTTTTTCCTTAGAAAAGTGGCTAACTTTTACTATACATTTTTCTTCTGGATACTTTTGACTGATTTCAAATAAAAGGGATTATGCTGGTGAGAGGAACCAGTTGACAATAACACCTGCTATTGCCATTTGAGCTTTGTAGTTATTTACTCTTCCAGATCTAGTTCGTTAATCAGTTGGCATCCAACTGATTTATCATTCAGAGAAGAAATCAAGGCAAAATCTCAAAGTGTTATTAAGTTCTTTTACCTCTTTTTTGTTCTCCAAAGGATGACAATGGAGGTCCCATTCAGAAATTTTCTCAAAAGACAGTCAGGGTTGGGGACAAGGGCTCTGAATTCCCAAGTATAAAGAGACACGTGGAGGAAAGCTGCCACTTTCAACTTTTCTCTTTCTTTTCTTGCCCTATTTTACCAAGCTACAAGTTAGTTAGAATGAGGAGTGGCTGGGGACCCATGTAAGAAAAACATTCAAAATATATTTGTATGCTTGAACACATTTTGATTAGAGATAGAACTTAATAAATAAACTAACAGAATACAAAGAAAACTTTGCTACGATCTTGCTGAAGTTACACAAGTCTGGTGTTACTGGATGGTAAATACACTAGCGGGGCGTCTTGTTGTTATAGATTGTTACAGGTTAGGGATGTTTCAACTCCAATTAATTGTTAGTGGCTGATGAGAGGAAGGTTAAGAATTAGATAACAATTGTAACGCCTATCATAGGGTAAGAATTTAATACATATCAGTTATATTATTATATTTTTATAAAAATATTCATCATAAGCTTGGCTATTCTAATAAGTTGTATTAAATTTCTACACATTAAGATTACAGATTTAATTACATCCATGATCCCAATATTTAAAAGCTTCATGTCATGAAAAGTGTAGGCTTTTCTATTCATGAAAACAAGCTTTTTGAGTTTCAGTGTGTTTGTTTCACCTTTGCACATAAAATGGACTGCTGGGCTACGTGTTATTAGGGGAGATGATTTCTAAGCTTCCTGCTAGTAGAAAGGTTCACAAGTATAAAAAATATTGCCATATTATGTAGATCATTTTACAAGAGATTTACAAGGGATCTTATGGATCATCTGGCCTGATCTCATTTTGAATGCAGTGAAACTCAGTTCAACGTGATAATAACACTTTAGACTATAGTTTGCTACTAAAATCAACTCATGCTAGCCTTATCTACTATGGCTCACAAGGCATTATCTTGATGATCTTCCCAATAGTTCTATGATAATAGTATTAGCATGTTCACTTTTACAGATGTGAAACTGAGACTAAGAGAGATAAAGTGGCTAGCCTGAATCATAGCGAATAAGTGGAAAAGAATGTCATGTATCAAATTCTGGGTTCATATTCTATGTCCTTTGTACAACACATCAGCAACTTTTCAAAAAATTATTACAGCAATCCAGTGAAATAACCAAGGTAGGAAGACTATGCTCAATTTTTTTTTCTTTTTTTGGGGGGGGGTGGTGGGCAGAGGGAGATAACTAAGTTTATTTATGTATTTATTTTTAAATGGAGGTACTGGGGATTGAAGCCAGGACCATGTGCATGCTAAGCATGCAGTCTAACACTGAGCTATACCTCTCAGTTCGATTTTTACAAATGAGAAAAATCAGGCAAGTTATAGCTATGCCCAAGGTTATGTCACTAATGAGCACAGAGCTGGCATAGGACGTGGATTTTTCTGTCTTCTACAGCATTCTTTCCACCACACCAGCGTGCCTGTGTCTGAAAATTCTAATTTGGGAAGTTCTTTTTTCCTAGCAAAAACATATTTATTATTTGACTCTTTGGGAAAGGGTTAAAATTATTCTACTTTCCTTGACTCAGTGCAGTTGAATCATTGAAATACTACATATTTATGAGTCATATTTTATCCTCAGAAAACTTAAGATACACATGAACTCTAAGTTAAATAGATAAATCAATACAATTAAGATATACACTAATAGAACTGTTAAAACACCTCAGCAATTAAACTGTTAGAAAGGAAAGAAATGACACTATATATAGCTTAAGGTGCTTTGAGTACAAAGCTGAATATTTAGTTGACATTTTATTAAAACTGAAAATCGAAGAGAGGCAAAAAAAAAATCTTGAAATGCACTTGGTGTTGTAGAGTGTTTAGAAATACAGGAAATTTAATTCTATGTTTTGTAAATAATTCTAAACTGTATCTGTCTTAATTCTCATCACAAAGCAAGATCCTGTGCAGAGTCAGGGAGGCTGAACACTCTGGGGAGACATACCCAAAAAAGTCAGGGAAGAGAGGATGCATTAGGAGGTGAAGTGCTAGGCAGTCTTCTCAGCTTCTGATTGAAAGAGAAACAAAATAAGCCAGGAGATCTCTTTGTTATGCAAAGGCCAGTGAGCTCACACATCTACTATCTTTTACCCATTTCTTGATCTGACTTTAGAGGTCAAGTTTAGACTTGCTTAGCAGTCTAATTATGTTCTAGAATTTTTCAATATGCCCTGATTCTAATTACTTAGGTATTTACTATGATTGACTCTTCTAGGTCGATGCATCAGAGCCTAACCTGGTAACGATTCTGATACTAGATTGTTCCCTGTACCTCATGGCTCCATAGGAAGAAATTGAGCCTCTTCCCAAGACATCCAAACCTTCAACTTATACCATTAATAAATGAAATAAACCATGTTAGATTATGGTTCCCCAGGGAGCTAG